TTTGTGACAAACAATATATTATATACTAGCGAAAAATCCTACGCAAGGACAGCCTACTTGGCACAGAAATGTGTCCAGTCAATGAATCATCAGTCGTTCAATGTGGCGGCATTTCAGATCTGGACAGAATTAGACGCTTGTTGCGCCTGATGCCTTTGAATTTCCAGCACAAAGTCCCTTCTTTTGCTTCGCTAAAATGAAACTAACGTCTGCCGTATTTCCTCCTGACCCGTCATCAGAATTCCACTGTTTTAAATCAGCAATAAATCGGTTCCAGTCATTTAACATATGCCCTGTCAGGGTGTGACTGAGGACGTAGCCTAATTATGCCGAGTTCGGTTGTTAGGCACGCCTTCCTCACAGATGCGATCCAGCTCATTCCTGGCCTGATGCAGATAGTGTGGCGTTTTTGCACGTTTGTTTTACTTCCATTATAACACTACGTATTACATCAATTGCATAATCGATTTTTGTTTGAATACGAGAAACTACAAAAAACGCGCACTTGCACAATTTCACATAACACAAGCGTGGTCACGTGCTTCAACTCTCTCTTCTGAATTCGGTCGCGCTTGCAGCGGTCATTCGCCAGTCTCATGTACTAACTCTGGTACCAAAACATTTCAGACTATCTTCGGAATCCATTATATGTGGGAAATGTTCAGAAGAAGACCTCTGGATCAACATAATTGGACTATTGTTTATTCGCTTATCTGGGCCAACGACGAACTATTTTAAGGAGAACAATTGTTAGTGAGTCTGTTCCATCTGATCGCTTCACTTTTGTATACCCAACCTAGCGTAATCATTTTTATTTCTTTGCCACACACTCCTGGTAAACTAACCTATTGGGTAGCCAGACCACTACAAATTTGGTGAGCCCGAGTATTTCTAGATATTTTTTTGAAAGCTTTTTCTTACAAGTCGTCGTGATTGTGTTTCTTCTACCCGGTAATTATGGAGACACACTTTGATTCAGCAGATTTAGTCGAGAATGCACTTAGCATACGTTTGCCAAACTACAATACACGCAACCCCAGGGTATGGTTTCACCAGGTGGAGGCCGTTTTTGCTAAACGACGCATCACTTCCCAAGTCACCCGATTTTCCCATGTTGTCCAGCATCTTCCTTGTGGTGTAGCAACAGAAGTTGAAGATCTGTTGGAAGATATTCCTCAGGAAAATCCGTATGACGCCCTCCGAACGGCCGTCATAAGTAGGATAGGGAAATCAGAAAACAAGATTTTACGGGATCTATTCACCACTGTCGAACTTGGGGACAGATCGCCATCACAAATGCTTCGCCACATGCGCAGTCTCCTCTGCGGCCGTAAGCTAGCGGTGGAAATCATGGCCCAACTATGGCTCGACAAACTTCCACCCTCCATGTCCCACGTCATCAGCGCTTTCGTTGATGACCACAGCTTAGAGCAGCTAGCCCGGATGGCGGATAAGATACACGAAACATACCCCAGTAACTCCGTAAACTCCGTCTCCCGCCCTGCACCCACTACAGATTCCGACCCGCTTCTTGCTTCTATATCGCACCTACAAACCAAATTTGACGCTTTGACCGATCGCCTACAACGGTTAGAGATCAACAGGCATCGACCACGTTCACGATCCAGATCGTCATCTCGTGCCCGTCTCCCTTGGTGCTGGTATCACCAAACTTATGGCCCAAAAGCACGCAAGTGTCAATCACCTTGTTCTTTCAAGCCGCGTTCCAACACCCCTTTAAACACCCCGGCCAGTCAGTAACGGCGACGACTGTCTGTGGCCCTCCTCGCACTAGTCGCCTGTTCCACATTACCGATCGTTCAAGTGGTCTACGTTTCCTCGTAGATACGGGAGCTGAAGTTAGTGTGCTACCACATAAGAATCCACTTCGCGATTCTCCTTCTTCCTCCTTACAAGCCGCCAACGGTACCCGCATCGCTACATACGGCGAACGTTCCCTCACACTTGACCTTGGATTGCGACGTGCGTTCAAGTGGATCTTTCTTTTGGCCGACGTCCAAAAACCCATCATCGGTGCAGATTTCCTGACCCATTACAATCTATCTGTCGACGTGCGACACAAACGTCTTTTAGACACGCTTACATCTCTCTCAGTCAACGGAATTAGTGCCCCAACTTCATCCACAGGTATCCGCGTTATCTTACCGGATTCACATTTTGCTGACATACTTAGGGATTTTCCAACCCTTACTCACCCATGTCAGTACACCCAACCGGTCACTCATTCCGTCGTTCACCACATTCAGACGAGAGGTCCACCTGTCCATGTCAACCCCCGCCGACTCCATCCGGATAAGCTACAAATCGCAAAACACGAGTTCGAACACATGCTCGAACTCGGCATCATCCGCCCTTCATCGAGTCATTGGTCATCACCCCTACATATGGTACCTAAGAAATCTAAAGGTGATTGGAGACCCTGTGGAGATTACCGTTCTCTCAACAACGCTACTATCCCAGACAGGTATCCCATCCCACATATCCACGATTTTGCAAGTACCCTATGCCATACAAACATTTTCTCCAAACTCGATCTCATAAGAGCATACTACCACATACCCGTAGCTCCGGATGACATTCCCAAAACAGCCATCACAACACCGTTTGGCCTTTTCGAATTCACGCGTATGCCCTTTGGTCTTCGAAATGCAGCCCAAACGTTTCAACGTTTCATGGACGAGGTTTTACGTGGCTTACCGTTTGTGTACGCCTACCTTGACGATGTTTTAGTCGCTAGCACCTCCCCAGCTGAACATACAGCTCATCTCAGAGCAGTGTTTGAACGTTTTTCCACTTACAACATACGTTTGAACATTGACAAATGCTTATTCGGTGTTACTAGCCTGGATTTTCTTGGCCACCACATTGACGCCACAGGTATTTCACCATTACCCGATCGCATTTTGGCCTTAGAGTCATTTCCCATGCCCACAACTATCACTCAACTTCGTCGTTTCATTGGTATCATCAACTACTACCGGCGATTCATCCCTCACTGTGCAGATATTTTGAAGCCACTGACCGATTTACTTGGCTCCAAAGAGAAATCTGTTACTTTGCACCCCGCCGCCACTGCTGCTTTCGAAAGAGCCAAGCACGCCATTGCTCAGGCCACAAAGTTATCTTTCCTCGATACTCACGAGAGCACAAAGCTGATTTTGACAACTGATGCTTCGAATGCTGCCGTCGGTGCAGTGCTTCATCAAGTTGTTAACAACACACCTCAACCACTAGCGTTTTTCTCGCAGAAGATGCAGGCTGCCCAAACGCGTTACAGTACTTTTGGTCGTGAATTACTTGCAATTTACCTTGCTATTCGCCATTTCCGGCACTTGTTAGAAGGTAGATCGTTTACCATTCAAGCCGACCATAAGTCACTCACCTATACCTTCACCGCCAAGCCTGATCGATACTAACCACGCAAGATACGCCATCTCGACCATATTTCAAAGTTCACTACCGACATTCGGTACACTCCAGGTTCGGACAATGTCGTCGCATGGTCTGTTCCATCTGATCTCTATTTTTGTATACCCAACCTAGCGTAATTATTTTTATTTCTTTGCCACACACTCCTGGTAAACTAACTCATTGGGTAGCCAGACTACTACAATAGTATACTTTAGATGCACGAACCAATCCGGTGCGAGCTTTCACGCGCAAGTCCTGAACTGTCGCTTTCTTGAAATCTGTGCTTCATGGCGTTTCGCTGAACCGATTAGACTTAAAGAGTTCTGAGATGATACAGTCGCCTAATTGGTTTCGCAAAATGCTACGGACGTGTCTCGGCTTCAGACAGTTTGTGCTACACTTCAAAGCAAGAACCTCGGATTTTGCGCCACGATTCTTTTGTTACGGACATTTGAGTAGACTGATGAGCCTGACATCTTCAAAATGGAAAAATTTCCATTAAATTTATATTATCTCGGGTCATGAGGCATATTTAGCTGGGAAACAATAATATTTACAAATGATGCAGCTGATATTCTCGCGGAGGTTGCCTATTACCACACGGGCAATTCAGAATCAGGGCAGAACTTCATCGGTGTACAAGGTGACAATTCAGTAGATGACATACTTGATGGAAATTTGACGGAAGAACCATCATGTTCATACAATCCTGCAAGTTTATTCGGTGCTTGTCTTGACTCCTTTGGTAGTCCTACACAAGGAGACTATTATTCCCGCTCTCCATACTGTGTTTCTAACAAACTCACCATGAAGAGTGATACGAGCATCATACATGGCCTTCTCGCAGCACTGTTAATTAGCTCTCTGGGGACTGTGCCTTTCCACAAAAGGTGTGCGTTCGGATTTCACACCATGCTTGGTTCTCCTAAACTCATTTTGCCCGCCAATTGATTTGGATGGACCGTAACAATGTATAAACGAAAATATAGAGGTCTTCTTGGACCAACTAAGTAATGAGAGGGCTTTGACTTCATTTGCGACAGTCCTGAAATATTATCAGACGTGAGAAATAAACTCAGATCATACACCTCTATAAAACAGGACTATCATGAATGAACATAAACCAGTCGTTGAAATACACGCAGGGTAAAATCTTTGTTTCGTTGAGCTTGATTGACCAATTTTGATGTTATTGTTAACAGACAATATTGGGATGACTGAATGTCTCCATGCGTTTGCTGGTTCCATCACAAAATCATGGTGTGAACATTGCAACCAGGCTGTGTGTAATGGCCTTGGTTTAGAGGGAACTATGTAAAATAACCTCAGCAAAACTTATCCATCCCTTCAATCATTATCCTTCTTGATTGCTCTTACTGTTGTCTAGGCTGAGGTGTGTCAGGGTTACGCATGGGAACCACACTTGTGCTGCATTTGGTTTGTTTGAGCGAACAGTATTGCCGTCACAAATGGAATAATTATCCCAAATTGCAAGTATAGTTTGAAAGCAGAAGTTCAGCTTCATCAACGACTTGCGGGAGCGTCGCTTTAGAAAATTCCAGTGAAGCATGGAGGCGCCCAACTTGATGTGTCTGCAGCAGCGGAGATTCAGTCGGTTAGGTGGGAACGGCGTTGGAATCAAATACCCAGGTGTCAGCTGGAACCAGGTTGAAATGGCAGACCAGTCAACAATTATGGTAACTCATGCCCTGGACCACGTGGGTCGTTATAAGCCTGGAGCGCAACCTCACTCTGTTCCGTTCGACCACGTGAGTGACTTGACCCGTGAGATACAACGGTGGCCCGAACGTTAGCAACATGCTAAATTTTGGGCCCTCGTCACTAGAATTGAACGTGAAATGTTTCACTGGTTCTGGACACATATTTTGCGTTTCTCTTCATAAATCACGTAAGTGACTTCTCATCACACGTGAGTCCGTTGCAATAAAGTAAGCGGGGCGGATCGCTAATGAAGGCTGATGTTCCAAATGGCCTCCGTGTGAGTGCCTTAAGTATGGAGATTCCATTTGAGGGAATTTTACCGGTGCAAACAACTTCCATTCAAGTAAATGTGCGTGCTCATCACAGAACCATCTTGATTTCACCGTCACGACGACAAACAAATCTAATTTCAATACATGTTTCCAACGTCGTCGACGTAAACATAAAGTGCGGTTTCTGATTTGTGCCATCAGAAATATTTCAGACAGAGAAAAAACGCCGTTTATGTCGATGCTCATGGTGTCCTGAAAATATGAAATAAGGATAGGTCAAATCGATTCACATTGAATAACATTCTATATATCGTTTCAGAAGAGTTTGATAAACAATCGGTAGTTTTTATTTGGGCAACGTCTCGCTTTTGACACAAAAGCTTCATCAGGCAATAAAAAAAAAGAACCTCTTTTTTTTTTAACAAACCTCTTCTCAAACGATGACTTCTCAATCGGTTACACACCTTTTCAAATTGATTGAAAACCTTCTATTTAGTTCACTCTCAGCTACCGCAAAATCGCCAGTAGTATGGTGTCTAGTGATATCTCGATTTGGATGACTGCCCGAAGGCCCACCACTCCGTTCATAATTCCCAATAAGAATGAAGTAGATGTGAAGTGCCTCTCAAATATTCGGAATCGGGGAAGTGCACTGACAACGTGAGGTCTCAGTTCAAAATTTCCAGGCCCTTTCCCAATATTCGAGTAATCGCGTGCTATTCGCACCAATGCAGTACAGGCTAGGGAAAGAAATTTGTGGAATCGAAATGGACTCATTCACCTCTTTTAATTTTGAATATCAATTGTAAACAGGGTGCAATCAAAAAACAGAACCAAGGACGAATGTTCCACTGCTGTTCGATCGGAAGAGTAGAACAATCAAGCCTCGCTAGTGCCTAAATTGTATGCTGAAACTGCCGGTCTTTGTTGTAGTATGTGCGGAATATCGTTCAGAAGTAAACAATTGCTTAAGCGACAAGCAAACAAACACAATGTCAGTGGATTGCTCATACCTGTCAAAAAATCAGGCAGGCGAGTACAAGAAGCCTTGAAAAGCGGATATATAAGTCCTAAATGAGCAATGTGTCTTCCAAGTAGGGAGAATTTGTTCCAGCACTGGTGAATAGTTCAGCGGGAAGAAACGCATCACCAATGGAACATTGCCGGGCATTATTTTGCCGAAAGTGGAAGCTGGTCGGCATGTGAGAACTGTGCAGGGAACACAAGTCTATCACATTTCTGAGCGACATGAAAAAATCCTCTTGACCGGATATTCTTAAGGAACATGTCTAAGGCAGCACAGAGAACGCACAAACATTTCAACAAGAGGGAATGAACTGGTTGGACCTACATAAGGGTCGCCTGTCCTAATCTGATCGAAGTTGTTACATTCTAACCAGGACGCTCTTTATTTCTACTGGTGTGTTTTCGTAGGATGCAGGTAGAGCACCTGAAAACTCAAAATATATCGCCCAGACACCATTTATATTTTAAATTGAATAACCTCCTCAAAGTTGCTACTTATTTCAGAGCTGCTAAGCCTTCAACGCTCCGGCAATCGTAAAACCCGTACAAGCAACCTTCATTTGATTGTTTTCCCATCCTGCGCCATCACAATTATTAGTTTGGCGAGATTTCGAAAAAAACTATTTCCTCTTCAATAGCTATCAACATAATTACTATCGTAATGTTCACGCATATGCTGGTAGACGCGTGATTTTTCGGTGGCCTGGCTTGACAATCCGGCTGCACAGTCTCGTTTGTGTTGGCGGCACGTCCAAAAGAAAAACGATAGAAAATTAACTACTATGCACTGATTATGTCACCCCGACTATCTAATATTGCAAAACTCCACGAAGACCTCTTCTGCATCTTGAAAATTTTTCAAACGTCCTTTCTATGACTTTACTTCGACAGGACGAGCCCGGCGACCAACTAAAATTCGTTGGGCTAAAATTTGGGTCACCGTAATGGTCGCCTGCTCAGTTTGAATTACTCAGGCATTTAATCTCAGTTTGTGGCGTTTACCATATCCTTCTCTTTGATGAAAAAATATTCAACTAAATCGGATAACACGCATACTCAATGAGATTAACTGAAAAAACAAATGCACATTTGTTTGTTCTCCTCGACTTATTAAACTCGCGGTTAGTCTGGGTACGTTTTAAACCAAGTCACATTTGTTGGATACCTTCACTCAATACAAGTAGTATCAAACTATTTTGTATCGTTCTGAGCTTGGCGCCATTACGTCCAAGTAGACCGATATCTTTCATTCTGCTTTCAAATCATGTTGGGAAGAAATCAATTAAATTACGTTTGAACCACCTCGCTGAAGCCTTTGGTTGATCGTTTCAGGTAAGCAGTTGTGCTCATTACTCACAGCGGCAGATCAATGCGGAAATGAGCGTTCACATAAGCTATCAATTCAAACTTATCTGCTCAAGCATTTTATTCAAAATGTTCACCAAAATGACCTTGGAAACTGCCCCATTTTTTATTAAAATTGGAGTTTTTGGTCCCGCAAAACATGTTTGTGAAAAAAACAACGATCTGATGAATCCGCTCTCATCAACCCGAATACGAACCATGAACTTTGATTCTTTGTAAATCTTGTGATGTAAGCACTCGTACATACGAGCGTAATACAGTTTCACTGTTCCACCGACTATCACCTCAATTGTTGTTGAGAAACGTATTGTAAATTTGGCCTACATTATACCTTTGTTGAAAGATCGGCGGTCAACGGAACTATTTTAGGATTCTTCAAGAGTCTTCGATCTCACACGTCTTCGACCTTCTCGTGTCCTTGAAACTTATTTGGCACTATGTAAACGACTGTGTGCTTACAGTTCCGACACTTCCAAACTACCCCAAAACATCAATTCCATGTGAGTCATACCAGCAATTTTTGTTTGACTTCAACCGGAATCGTTCACTTTCCAAGGGGATGATAGATGTGCTCATGATTCAAAGGGCCCCTCCTCATAGCAGTCATATTTCTGGTGATGAGGACTGGTCTATAAATATTGAAAATTTTTCGTCATTAAATCGTCAGTCAGGTGGCGAGGATCACCTGAATGCACTAGAAATCTCTGCCGCATCTAACAAACTTGGCTGTAGAAATTCTCTATAAATTCACGTGTGTGTACAAACGCAACTATGCGAAATGTTTACAACGCAGGCGTCCGCTTTTATAAGGAATACGCATGAGGCCGTTAACGGAGTATGGACTCAGTGATGAACTACCTGTACACAAGAATATAGGTTATTGTTAGTATCCCGAAATTCACTCAGATTTTCCTACCTTCTATTAAACATACTGCCTGCTTCACCTCGAGTTGGATACGTATATTTCTAAAAACGAATTAGTGTGCAAAATTAGCTCTCGCCCCCAGCAACCACTTCAGTGAGCACTCCAGCAGTCGACTAAAACGGAGGTGAAAAATTCGCTAGAGCTTCACCTTGCGTCACCCTTACGCCCAGACAAGTTTTGAGTCCTCGCGCTGAAAAACGTGCTGTTCTGTGCTGAAAAGTTAAAGAGTATTGCTGCACCCGTTTTTCATCCGTGCGTTTTAGATGAATCAATGATGCAGATCGACAATAGCAAACCCAAACCGGCGATGGGGCACAGGTCGTGGTCATTTTTATCTATTCGCGTGAAATAACAGAGCTTATTCCAAACATGTGTGTGGCATACCACCAGGCATGATCATAATTTTACAGTTAGAATAAAGTACGATCGATGGGATTTGTTGGTACTGGAGATTGCGCAAAAAGTGTCATAAGCAGTTGGCATTATCCGATACAGACGCGGTCACCCCTAATCGGGCACAGAGAGCGAAGCGCAGCTAGAATGCATTTTAATTAGGGGAGCTGAAAGACGATCAAATCGCTAGGATTTGAAAGTAGCGGACAAAAACACAACGAGGGACGGAAAAGCAAGAGGCAGCTTGCCCTACTGTGATGAACATGACTGATACTCTATTTATTGCCCTATTCAATATTCTGTTGTTTTAATATTCCGCGGGATGTACATATACGCCAATTCGAATACATACGTGATACTTGTTGCGCTGGCCTGAATCCTGGATTTCTAGTTCGTCTGATTATTCCGATATACGTACAAAACTTGATTCTCACACCTACATATAACAAATAATCGTCAACTGCGAAAATGGGGGAACCAGAGCGACCGATCTGGTGAAGCGGCCGAGTTAGCGTAATCCGGCGCCGCTTAATATTCGCGCAATGGAATTAATCTCTCGAAAGCTACGGCATTTTCAGGGCTTTCGCTTCATATTGTAGAATATTATTGTACAGTGATTTGTATGAAATTACCCGCAATGGTGATTTGTTTAAGTGAGCTAATTTTCAAGGTCAATAAACAGCACTGACTGTGAATATGTTGCCCAATGTAATAAGAAATTGCGAATTGGAGAAACTGATTCAGTTACAACAGACGAAACTTTCAAGCAGTTTTGCAGCTGAAATACTCTAGAATCTGCGTGTTCCTTGTGGATGCAAAACTTGTGGAATTGCCGCTCCTGAAATTATTTTTTCTCGACAAATGATATTACGAGATAAAATCGTGGAAGCCGCATTTATAATCCCTGGAAAATAGTGCAGTTTTGTCTTAAACAGCTGAGTGTCCCGTTATTTGCAAAATATGCCAGGTAAACCATGACTTCAATCAAAGCCGGGCAGCTGAACGAACCTAGCTGGCATACACGGCGAACATGCGGCTAGGGGTCCACGATGTCTACTGAACTGGGAACACGGAACCTAAGTTGATCGTAGCGGACAGCTGAGTGAACTTA